CTGGCCTGGGTAAACACATGTGCTGGCCATCCACTGCCACAATTTCGCATAGCTGCTGCTCGGATGCATCTGAACAATACAACAGCTTGGCCACTTGTGATGCTCATCCTTCCGGTAACTGTGAAGTGTCATGCAATCTTTACCACGCTTGTTGCAAAACCGATGAATACAAGCCCGCGGCAGACTGATCACGCGGCCTGAGCTTTGAACAGGCAATGACCTGACAAACGTGAGAAATGTCGGCCACATCGCTACGCACACCTTGACCTGTGAACCACAGCCAACCACACTTCCCTTGCTGAGCCACGAACCAAGCACCACAAGCCGATGCTGGGGGAAATGTTATTTAGCCGCAAAGGCTGTGGCTCTCCATTGCACACCCCCTGCAGGTTCTCTTACAACCTCTCGGAAAACTTCGTAACATGCCATCAAGGCATGCAGCCAAAATTTAAGCCTGAGCCTTACATATGTTGTGTCTCTTGAATCTACAGTGGCAAAAGCAACAGTCCACCATCAGCAAGGTACCCTCTTGGCATGCTAAAGATGGCGAACTGCATTCTAACGGCGAACTGTTAGAAGGTGTTACTGGAGCTTTGCGGGCAAAAGGCTCGGTATGGTTTTGCCAATCATTGGGGCCAGACGACCAAGTTGTCCCACAACAGTGGTATATTGTTCTTTGGTACCGGCGCACATCCTCTCGCTCGCACACCGTAGTCTTAGCCGTGTTGTTGGTGCACACTTACTCCGGTCTGGCCCCAAAACTGTTTATACAAGCATCTTAAAACTGTCTTGCATATGACCAGGACATGTTCTGGTGGACACGCTTCAACACACTACGTGCAAGCATTGTCATTCTCAGGTGCCGCTTCTGTAACATCTCAAGAATTCAGTTTTTCACGCACGTCCTGCTTCTGAAGGCGGCGCCAAGAAAACAACAAAAACTGTGACAATGTATTTAAGAATCGGTCGACATCATAAACGACAGCAGTCAATGTCCCCAAACAGTTGAATATCAACAATTACTAGAGGGCTGCAATTTATGAAGCGCCTCTGGCATTGTCTACGCGTAGTCATTCATTCACCTTCCAACATCACCCATTATAGGTCCTTGGGGCATGAAAACCATGTTAATTTTCAAACCCTGTCTGGCTCCAGAACTCGTTGCACTTGCGCGTTGGTGCGCAGGGCTGGTGAGGTCTTTCTGCACAGGGGTGCTTGCAATTGTCACAGTCCCTAAAGCAAGCACGCGCTCAGGACACTTGTCCGTTATTTCCCTTCTAAAAACCTGGCCATATTTAGAATGTATATACAAAAACACTCGAGTATTTACAATGTTCTAACTCGGGAAAAACGAAACCTGCTCACGTTCACACATGGAGCGAACGTAGTCACATAGCCCACATTGGCCTGGGCGAGGGCCCAAGGCCAATGAGCAATACAGTGAAAACCAGAAGTGAGAAAATAATCAAATGAGTAACACATTCCACGTGGGCACATTCAGGTAGGGGCGTGCTCCCCAAAGTTACACAGGGCTGGGCTGGCAAAACAAACCACCCACCCTCCCTACCCGATCGGGAATGAACATAATACGCGTGCTTCAACATAAGACATGAACCGTACACAAAACAACGTTTGCCCTGATTTTTCCAACAAATTTGTGCTCTTCGCGGGCCATCCACCAATTTCCCTTAGCAAACACTGGGCATACTTGGAAAGGGGTGGAGTTTTTTTGTTTTTTATTTTTTGGGGGGGGGTCTTTTTTTTCTTGGTCGATTTTCTTGGGAAAGCAACCATTCCCTCCGTATTTTCACAGGATTTGGTCCAGTTTCTTGGTTTTTCGTGCGAAAACCTCCATTCCCGCTATATTTTCATAGGAACTGGTCCATTTTCTTGGTTTTTCCTATGAAAACCACCATTCCCTCATATTCATATTTGTTAGGATTCATACTACTTTTTTCGTAGGAATGCGTAGAATTTTTGCTAAGCTTGCAGGGGGGGTGCAGGGTTTCGAAAAGACGCGTGTGCTTTGAAGCAAGCTTGCACGACTTAAAAAAGCGTTGGGGGGGGGGGGGGTGGGGGGGGCGCAGCCCCCCCTACATGCAAACACAATGCTTGCATCGTGGGTTTCGAAAAGACGCTTATATTTTTGAAGCCAGCTTGCACGACTTAAAAGCGGGGGGGTTGGGGGGGGGGGGGGTGTGCAGCTTAAATAGGGTCTGTTTGGAAGCTGGTCTTCGTCTTTACAAGAGGAAAAACAGACCCCAAAACCTTTACTTATTTACAAGAGCCAACTTCCAAATAGACCCTATGTTAGCTCCAGGGCTTTGTTTGAGAAGAATTTAAATCCGTTTAATCTTTTTAATCTGAAACCTCTTTCCCGGGAGGCTTCAGACAAAAAGAGTTAAATTCCCGCCCGAACTTACGGTTTAATATTTTTAATCTGAGGCCTCCCGGGAAGAGGCTTCAGATTAAAAAGATTTAAATTCGGGAATTTAAATTTAAATCAATTTAAATCTTTTTAAGCTTTTAAATCTTTTTAATCCTGGAGGCGGGGGGTGCTAAATTTCAATATTCACCGAAATTAAGGAAATAAGAGAAACTAGCTGAAATTAAGGATTCTGCTTTGGGAGACTATTCCAAAAAACAATGAAACCAGCATCTGTCGAAATGCTTTGAAACAACCATGTAAACCCAACGCAACACGATAAACTTAGCATGTCGACATGTTCCTTGGGGCTTGGGGGAGGGGGGGGGGGGGAACCAAGAAAACACAACTGCAAGGATGGCTGTTTCCCCTCATCGTCCATCTGTACGTCTAGCTGAAGCTAAGGAGGGAGGGCAGGGAGGGAGGAAGAGATGGAAGGAGGGAGGGGAGGGAGGGAGGGAGGGATGGAAGGAGATAGATAGAAACAGAGAGAGTCAGACGTCAGAGAGAAAGGAGAGAGAGAGAGAGAGAGACAGAGAGAGAGAGAGAGAGAGAGAGAAAGAAAGAAAGAACGAAAGAAAAAGAATAAGAAAAAGAAAGAAAAGAAAGCAAGAAGGAAACAAATAGAGAGATAGAGAGAGAGCAGCCCAATACGTCCACATTTTCTCTTGTCAGTCAGCACTGATAGAGTCGGGTCGTCGCCAGAGTCGAAACGCTGACTCTCTGAGCCACTGAGTAAACTGAGCAAGCCCGCCCATAACCCTCCTAAGCATGACTGCCCTACACCCCCACTCACCCTCCTGCGCTCCACCCCGGCCAACACCCCCGACCGCCGGGGGTGGGGGCGGAAGGGGGAGCCCCGCGCAGCGGAGGAAAAAATTGTGGGTTCAAAGGGCAACCAGTGGGGGGGGTCGGAAGGGGGAGAGAGGGAATAACAGAGGCCAGCCAAACGGAGAAAAAATTGCCGATTGGGGGCCGAGACCTGCCTGATTCCTTAATTTCAGCTCCAGTTTTTTTGTTTTGATAAAAAAAGAAGCTGAAATTAAGAACTGGGATACATGGCCATAATTCCTGGCACCAGTTGCAAAGTCCTTAATTTCAGCTCCATTTTTGTATTAGAAAACGGAGCTGAAACTAAGGCCCCCCCCCCCCCGCAGACCCCTGTTTTAAACAACCCGAGACATGTTCGCATGCGCTTGTGAACTCTGACTGCCATTTCCAGGACTCAGTCCAGGAGTGTCTGGGCTTGGCACTTCAGGGAGACTCTGGGGTTGGGCACTGCAGGAAGACTGAGGGAGACTCTGCGCTCCTGGCAGACTCTGGGGTTGGGCACTCCAGGATCAGGGTTGGGCACTTGAAGGAGCCTCTGGTCCAGGGAGAATTTGGGGGTAGGTGGCACCTTCGTCACAGCATGCGGCTTCTGACGATGATCACCCACCGCTCGACACAAGGATGATAAGATACGATCCCCCTCCGGATCAAGACAACAGTCTCAAACACAAGAGGCTCAAATCCTATTCCTTGTTCCTGACATCTCATGGCCGTTTGACGATCCCTTCGCTTTCTTTCAGCCTGCATTTTGGCCATCGCCAATGTTTTGGTCCCACTGGCTTGTTGTTTGAAAGAGGAATTGACAGAGATATCCAAGGCCAAGCGCGGCAGTAGTCCCCACGTCGATTGTCTACACAAAGCAGTGGGAAGAGTCAGCACAGCACATCTGCGGGCAAATCTGGCAAAAGACCTATAGATTCCAATTTACACCGGAGGCCGCCAGTGTGGAGAGTACGATAGATCTCATCTCGAATCATATTGTGGAGTTTAGTTTTTCCTCCTACCATATGACACGTCAAAGTGTGATGTCCAAACATATCCTGACTCTGTGGGCAACGTGGACAATCCATCTCAACCTGAAATACCGCTTTCCCAAGCCGCATGGAAACAATATCGATGAAAGCAACGTTAGACAAGCAAGTATCAAAGGCGTGACTAGCACTAACTCGAACCCACCCATCGGCCCAAGGTGCCGAGAACGCAAGCAAAACCCTACGTTGAGCATCAGAAAGGGTGCCCTCCAACAACCACCTAATCCTATTCCTGTACCAACACCATCGCCTAAACCAAATCTATAACCAACTATATCACCTGGTCCAATTCCTTTGCCAACACCATCACCTAGACCAATTCCTTTACCAACAGCACCACCTAAACCAATTCTTTAACCAACTTCTTGACATGGTTTTTTTAACAACCATGTTTTTAAAAGATTATACAACATCAGAATTAATTTCTATAATAGTTGCCAATATATATCCAATATATATATATATATATCCTGAATTGATTATATTGTATTTGAATATTTTGTTGCATTATATTTGAACCTATTTCGAATAAAATATTCCATTTTCTATATTATCGCTCGAGACGATTCAATAGCAACGACAAACATTTCTTTCTGTTTGAGCTTAGATTCGGGGTCGCACACATCATCTCTCCATTGGGGAAAAAAGAGTCTCCAAGCGCTGGACTGCCGGCGACCCCCCCAATCTTTGAATTCTCCAGAACAGGCGGGACT